TAACACTATTTAAAAAGTGAAAGATTCCATTTCCTATTTTTGGTTTATTATTATTTGCTATTTATGGTGGAACTTGGAAGGACATTATGTTTTGAGTTTTCCATTTGAAATTTTCTAGGTTCTGTGCAGTCAAAAGATACGGCTGCTTTGTATGCTGGGCTTTTCTGGTTTTTTAACTCCTGAATACTTTAAGAACTAGTATGAATATCCGTGCTACGCACGGTGCTGACATTATTTAAAAAAATAAAAAGAAAATGGTGAATAAAAAAAGGTTAAAAAATTGTACCAACACAATTAAAATGTAATATCTGTCTAACAATAGTTTGAAATATGATAGAATGTGTATATCATTCAAGAACTGCCTTTTTTCGAAAGATAGATCTTGAATAAATAATAGAAATTTATATTAGAAAATGAATGATATATGAATAAAAATGAATGTAATTGAATGTTGTTAAAATGAAATACTTACAAATATTATGCATTCGATTTGATAATCTTGCATGAAGGTGCGAACACTCTTCACACCAATCAACTTTTAGTACGAAAGCCAAAATTGGTGATTTAATTAATTCTGTTGAATTTTGTGTAGTGCGTACTACAAATGAAAATGCACAATCTTTGCATAAATTGATTTGTTGGTTGAACAATCTATCACCATTTTTCTGAGAATTAAGTACGTACAAAATTCAAAATTAGTGTTTTTTTTACATAATTTATGAATAGCATTATAAAAAATAAATATATATCAAGAAATAGTCCTAATTGCCATTGCAAGTTACGGCAACGTGCAAATGGCATCTAGTCCTAATTTTTTTTGGGGTCAAAATCTAGTTCTAATTGGTTCTGCTGTTTGTTGATCATGTTGATGCTTCCGAATTCTACTTAGCGTGTAATAATTGATAATGGCTTATTCTATTCTTTTATGGTATTGGACAGGCGAAAACCACACCAGAAGTGTGGTAAATTTACTTTAAACTCCTAATATTATTTCCCATAATTTTTGTATACTTTTTAAAAAATTTAAATTTTTCACGCAAATAAAAAAAAGGGACTGGTCACACATCTCATTTTGTACCCTAAAGAACTTAATTTAGCAAATTTTTTAGAATAATGGTGAAAAAAATCATAACAATGGAGGAACTTGGGTTTGTTTCTTTTTTTTTTTTTGGGATCTAAAACAACCCTATTCATTTTTAAAAAAATAAATAAATTGGCCATCTTACGTTCATTAAGAAGGGAAAATTTTTTGGTCACTACACATGGATGTCCGACCATCCTAAAGGGAAAAAAAAATAATTCTTCCGTTCTTGCGATTGTTTTTAGGGTTAAATATAGTAAGCCCGTTAACTTTACATTTAGTTACACTTTACCCCCTCAACTTTACATTTAGTTGCATATTTGTGATTTTTTTGAAATGTGATTGTAATTTGCAAAGCTCATTTATTGGGGTGGTTATAGGATTAGTTTAGTGATATATATCTCTTAATTATAAAAATGTAAAATTATATTAAAATAGCATACGAATGAGCATTTGTCTTTAATTAAGGAGTAAAAAGGATTTAAAGTATAAATAACAAACTATAAGCGGTTTATGAAGTAGATAATGGAATAGTTTTAAATTTTAAATTTGACTGGTGATAGGGTTAGTTATAACCCACTACTTTTTATGTATTAAAATAAATACAAAAATCTAGAAAAAAAGAATGAGAAATTTGGAAGCCATTGAGAGGCTCTCTTCTAAAAGCCCATTCTGCAATACATATAGATATAGATAGCCGAATGCAAAAGTCAAATAGGTTAACTTTTTAATTGCAAAATCAACTACAGCTCTTTATAAGCACCCCTAGGCAGCTCTCACCTAAGGCCAGATGAATGGTAAACAACTGTTTTGGTGGTTGGGTTGGGGGAGGGGAATAATTATAGAACCAAAAAATTCTAACAAAAAACTACAAGACATATATTTGATAAAACCAACTGATATGAAGAGACAATTTACACACATATAATTATGCTTGAGACTAAGAGAAAGAGAAATAAATATCAAGAACAATATATTAATCACATATTAAACTATGAACGTTATCAAATTTTCCTTTTCTCAACTGATACAATAATAAAAATCTCTATTTATAACCCAGGTGACTTGTAAACAAGTCTTACAATCATAAGAAATTTCATAATAAAATTCCATTAAAACCTCATGGTCCTTCCTTAATTAACAGTGAATTCTCTCTCTTTTTTTTTAACAATTTTTATCTATTTATTTAAATTATATATTCATTTTTTTAACTACATAAAGTAACTTAGTTTGGTATATGCAAAGTAATTGATATATTGGTAAATTGTTTAAAAAATGAATTTTCACTCAACGAATTTGTTTAATTCATTTGTACAAGAAAATTTCGCAAAATATTCTAAGAATTATCAGCAAAACTGTTATTTCAAATTAAATAAATGACAAAAAAAAAAGCAATTTCTAAATAATATCACGACAAGAAGTTGACCAGCTTTGTTCAACGCAGTGGATTTTTTTTTTTATTTATTTTTTTTACCCTAAAGTAACATGTTGGGACATCTTCCTGCGTGGCGGACTAGAGTTGAAAGGGCGAAAGAATTCAATTGTGGATATTTAGGTCAAGGGCAAAGGAGCGGGAGTGATCACCATGGCTGATGATGAGCAGCTTTCCAAAAATCAAATTGATGGTGATGCAGAAGAAGATGCGGAAAATTGTTCCCAGTGGCGTCTAAAAAAGAAGCAGAAGCTTGACGAAGAGAGTGATGGGACCGAGGATTTGGACGAGGACGAGGATGATGATGAGGAGGAGGTGCATGTATCAGAAGAAGATGATGGTTCCGATGATTCCATGGAAGAGTTCACGATTTCTGATGAGCAGTTTGAGAGATTGAAGCCTGAGTACTGCCCTGAAGGGGTTGAAGAGGTCGATGAAGATGTATGGATCAAGTATCTCAAAGAGATTAGGGAGAGCGAGGTAGGTATATCATATATGTGTTCCATTCCTTTGCATTTGTGATAATCGGATTAATTTTATTTGGATGATGGTGCTTTTGGTCACAGGGTTTCGATATTTACCATTATCCGGGTATGTGCTTGATGGCTCGATATCATCCCATTGATATTGAGAAGTATCCATCAGAACTCGAAGAACTAATTGATTTCTCGAATGCTGCGCTTCTTGATTTCAACCAGAAGGAAGTATGTATCTCTTCAATTTTTTTTTTTTTTTGTCCATTTCGTTCAATACTTCTGCATCTGCCTCTGGGTCAAGCGAATCTAGGAACCTTAATTTAATTCCTTCCAGGGCACAAAGTACAAGTTGGAAAAGGTTGAGAAGGCAAACAGACAACTTGCTGGTCCTGGTTGCAACTATTACATAACTTTCCAAGCCAAAGATTCTGTTGCTGATGCTTTCAAGACCTTCCAAGCTGTAGTATGGTGGGGCATAGATAGGTCTGGTTCAGAATCCTCCGCAGCAGTTGTGAAATTCTGCAGGCTGAAAGCGGCTGCTGCAACTTGATTCAATCTCATTGGGTTTTCTGGTATTGGTTCTGAATTTTAACGAGTTATTAATGTAGAAATGAAAATTTGGAAATTGGGTTAAAAAAGCTAGCATGATCTGTACTCTCTTTTAGTTTCTGATTCTTCAGTCATCAGATGATAAATTATGATGGTCCTTCGAAGTTCAGCGTGATATCCATCAAGTGTCTAATTGTGAAGCTTGAGAACGGAAATTGATCTATATTTATAATTGTTTAAAAGTTACAAGACTGAGACTTCAATAAGCAAGATCACATGAGACAGGCTGATGATGGAGCTTTGGTACTGGCCCTGTAACATAGGAAGTTCTAAAAGTTAGGAGATGGACTATCTTTTACTTTATATATATATATATATATATATATATATATATATATCATATAAATCACATAGAGTAGAATTTTTCTACTAACATTTGAATCCATGAGATTTTGGCATCGCGAATTCTTGTTTCTTTTACGTAATTATGTTGAAATCTAGAGGATGTTTAAAATAATGTCCAGGAGATTAGCCCAAAAAATTTTGTAAATAAAAAGGATTTGAAAGTACAATCTTTTTCAAAGAAGAAGAGAATGCGCCGTAGTTCTCAATTTATATGAGCCAACTTAAGTATGTACACTGGAGTAGCCAACGAACAGCTCTTCGTTTCATCAAAGTGATGGCTCAATGTTTAATCACGCTAGAGGAACTTACCAATGAATACTGGTCGTTCTCCCTTTTATTTTACTGCTCCTGAAGAACAACTCTTCGATCAGTTTAATCGAGCTAGAGAAATTTGCCAGAGCAATAATAAAATTAATGTTAAAATGGGTGACAACAATAGCATATGGTAGGGGAAGTATGAAATTCGAAACCTCTCACTTGCATTAAATTTTTTTTTTTAAAAAAAAAAAAACCATGGCCGTATGGTAATATTAAGGAAATCTCAATCAATAAAACTCATCTGGCATTATGGTTATTATTCCTAATGACCATTTCTTCCAATTCGCCTCAGTGGATTTTTGTCCATTTCTAACTTCAGATATTTCATTCAGTAAATTGTTTTGAAAGTATGGATGATAAGTACAATTTTCATTAATTAATAGACATCAGGTTTGTGTATAATTGACTAATTCAAACGTTGATGCAACAAGAAGAAGTTCTAATATTTTTTGTTCATTGTTTACTTGAAAAGACACGAAAGAAAAAACGAACAGAAAAGAACCAACTATCTATAGCAAAAATTTTGATGGAACTAAAATTGTAAAGTAACATATTGGATGTATTTAGATATGTCATCAATCAAAATTTATTTAATATACTTGTCTCGTAAATACGTCTTTAAATCACTCATTTTATCTTCTTAATTATTATTATTTTTAATCTCATATATATCATCATCACGTAACAAAACTTACTTCAAAATTTATTCCGAATTATACCCTATCCAGATTTCTGAAACTAAAAGATGTTAGCAAATGGCAAACTCATATTTTCTCTACATCTTGTGGCAGCAAAGTTGTCGTTATATTTTAACATAGTATTGCCACGCCTCCATTCCTGCAGTCAACAGCAAGCAAAGCACAAGTAAATACCACTGCATTCGACAGACATAGATTTTCTCAAAATTCCCCATTGTTTTCAGCTTTATCCCTTCAAAGCTTCAACCATGACGGACCACCACGAGACGCGAGACGGAAAACCCAACAAAAACCTTCCTCATGCTTCTTCAGAGAAATTCCCAATTGGATCCTCTGATAGCGGGTTCTCTTCCGGGCCAAAGTACCCGAATCCACCTGAGACGACTAACCCGGACCCGGCCACTCTCAGGGAGCAGTGGAGGTATGCTACTAGGCAGTACAGTAGATGGTATTCTCAAGCTTGGGGCACCGCTATACTTGCGGGTCTGTCTTTCTTTGCTCTTGGTTGGATAATTAAGGGTTCTAATCCTTTGCCCTCTTTCAAGAGCGAAAATGTGGAAAAGAAAGATGATAAGAATAGCCCTGAGCAGGCTAAGCAAGGTTAATTGAATGGTGATTTTGGTTCAAGGTTAGTCTTAAGTTCTTGACTTTTTTTTTTTCTAATTGGAGATTGAAGTATTTTTACCTGTTTGGTTATTATGGGTTCATTGCAGCAATTGTATTTTTTTTCGTGTTATCTTGCTCAATTTGTACCCTTTTTTATGATAAAGTGAGGTAATCCAATGGTAAATTTAATTCATGTTTATTTGCGAGTTCTTGAACTTGATTGCTGTTAATTGAGGTGATTAAGCAGTTTATTTGTTTCTGAATTCTGGGTTTTTGTCACAGAATTTTTATATTTTCATGTTATGTTGCACGATTTGTTCTTGTGACAAGGCTGATCAAAAGGTGAATTTGTGTTAAGCTTACTGTAGATTCTTGAACTCTTTGGCATAGTAATTGAGGTTATAAGGCTGATTGATGGTTATCAATTTCTGGGATAGTTGCAGAATTTTTTGCAAATTTTCACGTTATGATTCCTTCTCTGTCTCTGTTTGTCTGAAAGCGGCACTGTTATGGAGGTGAAACTAGGTTAGGAGGTCAATGAATTCAAGATTTGGTCCAGTATTAGGACTTTGCGCTTCTCCTTTTGAGTGCCTATGCCCATTGATAGCAGTGCTAATGTAGGTACGTCTAGAGTTATACTAATTGAGGTAAGCCTATAGTCAGCTGATGTAGTTAAATCATTTTTAGTAGTTTCAGTTTGGAAACTATTTGTTAGTTGTTCTTGAGCTCACTGAAATAACAAATGTGATGGTTAATTATGTAAATTTGGACTTTTTAAAACCTATTTTGGTATGTCATGGTCTCTCTATTGGTCTTCATTTTAGTGGAAACTAGAACATTCTTAAGAACAAGAAGAAGTCTGGCCGAGTTTGCTATGTACTTGCAGATTCACACAATAGTACAATCCTTAATATCTCAGAGTAGGAGGTTTAAATTGCTAATCGACAATGGATGATAAAGTGTGTAAAAGTTGAGATGGGCTATAGGATTATGGAGAGTATAGATTTGGCATGTTCTATTGCGTGTATGAGTAAGTGGGATGGATTAGTGAGAATGAAGTTCTACTCTCATGATAGCATCCTCGTTGTGCAAATATGATGGTTTTGTGACTGATAATTTTTGTGAAGTCCTTGATTTCAATTATTCTATGGCTCAAGAAATCTTGTTAGTGGTGGTACATGTTTGGTGTAAACTGTGTAGTTTTTAGTCTGCAATGCTTAAAACATTTCCAGAATAGAAATGGAAAAGATCATGCTAAAAGCGTAATTTAATGCATCCATGTTATTTCACCAGTTTTGGTCATACCACCTCATTTTCGACTTGTGCAAAAGGGTGAGTTCAGTGGTCCTACGTAGGAGGTGCTGGAAGTTCAATTTTTAAAAATTGTGAAATTTTGCTTATTCCTATCTGACATCATATGCAATCTGTATTGCGTTATTGAAGAAACAACGCAAGGGGATTCTTTCAAAATTTGATCTGTATCACCATTTTTCTAAATCATTTGGTGGTTTGTCCATTGTCTTTCCTTTCAGTTGCTGTACAGAACATGAGTAATCAGTTCGTGCTAGGTAACCAAGCTTGTATAGCATAGTGGAGCAGTCCTGGTAAACTAGATGGTGAAGAAACAAGCAGATTTGAAATGGCATGTTGAAAATTGCTTTTTTCTTAATGGAAAAAGTGAAAGACAGAAAAAATTCTACTTCTGCTTCAAGAAAATCTGTGGGTGAAAAGTAAGCATGGGAAATAGAAACATATTTACAGTGCTTCCTCATATTTGTTTCAGATACTGATTAACTCTCAAATTCCAAATAAACGTCTCTCAGCTCTGGAGCAATAGCCTCAATATGTTACTTTCTGGCACACTAAAGTAAATCTCTCTCTCTCTCTCTCTCTCTCTCAGCTTTTCATGACTACTGACTAATCTAGAGTTGGTATTAAGCAAGGGCATAACTGTAGGCAGCAGGTGCCCTGTAAGTGAGAAGCACATAACACATGCTCATCTGTAAATTCATCCACTATACTTGTATGACACAAGTATTTGCCTTTGTATCAGTGCCGTGCCAGTTTTAGTCCCTCTCTCTTCCTCCCAGCTCTACAGCCATTCATAAAATAAGTTCTTGATATTAACTACATTGGAAAATGTACGCCATACAGCCTTTGGATTTCGTATTGGAAATGTTTCAATGTTTGATATGAATATTAGCATTAACTAGTTTGGGCTGTGAAACTAGTAAATGGCTGCATTTATAGCCACAGGTTACGAGTGGGAGAACTGTAAACTGTCGGATGGCTTCGTTGTACAGCTAACTGTCTTGTTTGACAAGTATATACTGCTTTACCTCTTCTTTGTTGTTTTTCCCTTATAATATCTGGAAATATTACCTTACTGTGTATGTGATCGCTCGGTATAATTTCTTTGAGATCCTAAATGAGAAAATGACCAATGCAATAGGTATAATAGGTGGCGGAGAGCTTGTCTGGTTTATTGAGAGAAGTTCCTCTATTCCTCTTACAGTACTTAATTTTGAACTATAGATAAGACCTATACTTGCTTTTATTTGACGTCATTTTATATGTAGTTGATGCCAAAAGTTAACAGCTTCATCACTTTGTTTTTCTCAGATAATTCGTAGTAACGTCTTGAAAGTGGATGTAAAATGGGGATTTTATGTTTCCCAGCTTCACTAGGTTGCTTCTTGAGTAATAGAGCAAGTAACTACAAGAAAAAATATGTGGAGAAAGCAACAAAAAGGAAGATGAGGCATGCGACCTTGAAGTTACATGTACCAACAACGTACTCTGTTTTCGAACATCTGGGTGTTCTTGAATGGACTAGTAACGTCTTTGTTGACGTCTGTGGAATTTGTATAATGTATTTTGAGTTACCGTACCTGCTACAACTCTCAGTTTCTCGCAAGAATGTAATCTGGATAGAATTTGAAAAGGGCATCTTTCTACTGATGAAATCTGTGTAAAGTTTCAAAATCCAATTGGGCATTCAGTGGATATATAACAGTGCAATCTTTTCCCTTCCCTCCTCTTTTGTCCTCAATGCACAAATAGAAGTAGGACTCCATTATACCCAAGTTTGCTCTTAATTAGGGGATGGCAATTCTGTCTCAAGTCATTCATTGACATCAGAAGAATTTAATTTACTGCTTACGCAGCTGTAAAATTAGATGCGCGTAGCTTGCTGGAACAAGGAATAAAATAACTAGAACAACTATGAATCTGTGTCAGAATCTCGATTCTTACATCTTCTCATTGCCCTCTCCTTTTCTGTCAAGTAAAAAGAAACTAGCTCTCTCCTGGCTAACATGGTATTGCATAGCTGAAAAAAAAAAAAAAAACTAAAACTAGCGGTGATGGTTGCAGCATTTTTTGGGATGGTACAAACCTCCTATTCGCGTATGGATATAGCAGTAGTTCTGCAGTAAAATTCTCCACAACATGAGAGCATTTTCTTCACTCTTTAACCAGAACAACAACCAGCTTTCTTGACAGCTGATACATCATCTTTGGTTCCAATGTTTATAGTTTGTCCTCTAGGCAAAGCTGCAGGATCATCTCCAATGTCAAGAGCCTTTCTGCTAACAACATGGTAGATTTGTGTCAGCACTTCCGTGAAGGCATTTTCAACATTAAGGGCCTCAAGAGCTGAAGTTTCCATGAAGAAGGTCTTCTCCCTCTCTGCAAAAGCTGTCGCATCTCCAGTAGGAACAGCTCGCAGGTGACGCAGGTCTGCCTTGTTTCCAACGAGCATGATCACAATGTTCACGTCTGTATGATCCCGAAGCTCCTTAAGCCATCTCTCCACATTTTCGAATGTCACATGACGGGTAACATCATAGACAATTAGAGCACCAACAGCTCCTCGATAGTATGCACTTGTGATGGCACGATACCTTGAGCAGAGAAACATACGATGTTACATGCATTTCAGACAGTGTTTGAACCTTGTACTTCAGTGTAGAGATTACAGATGAAATTAGTCCCCATTATTTTCATCACATTATGGAAAACAGTAAGCAAACTGTTGTGTTTTAGTATCAATTATGCAGTTGACTGTTGTTATTACAATCGTCCGTCCGTTGATCATATATTGTGTACTTCAGGAGCCTATAAATTACAATCTGAAAATCCACAAAGCTTCGATAAAAAAAAAAGGAGCCTATAAATCCGTTCTCACTTTATGCAAGAGCAAAGAACATTGCATAATACTACTATTGAACGGTAATCAATCAAAATCTAGAGACGATAATTCTGGTTGCACATATCTTAATGAGAGGAAAAGGGTTGAGCAAGCACAATTTCAAAATGCCACTTTGTATGGCCATAGGCACATTCAACATCAACCAAATCCTAAGAAGAAATTTCTATCAATTTCCTCAACTCTCCTTTATCTTTTCTGTTTGGTTTCTTATATTTAGCCAGCATAAATGCATAATTTCATGCATAATCAGCAAAGAGAAGCTTTGAAATTAATTTACACATATACATACGTCCACGTTAATTCTACACGAAATTCATATGCAATATTTGTACGTGATGGGCACAAAGGAAAGAGAAATAATATACTAAGACGGAGGAGGTAAATTCAGGGCGGGGACTTGCGTACCTTTCTTGGCCGGCAGTGTCCCAAATCTGAGCCTTAACGATTTTGTCATCAACCTGAATGCTGCGGGTGGCAAACTCAACGCCAATGGTGGACTTGGATTCTTGACTAAATTCATTGCGGGTGAAACGAGACAAGAGGTTCGATTTTCCGACACCTGAGTCCCCTATTAGCACCACCTTGAATAGGTAATCATAATCTTCATCAGCCCTATATGCCCCCATTTCTTGCTATGTTTTTTTTTTTTCTTTTTTTTTTAATGATTGATCTCGAAGTTAGTTAGAGAGGGAGAGCAAAGAGAGCTGGAAAAACAAACAAGGCAAAATATTGTTGGCCGATTTGATGATTCGATTGATGGCAAAATGGCAATGGTACAAAAGAATTTCCCTCCGCATATTTAGGAGGGATAGAGAAGAGAGGTGAGGAAAGAAAGATGACACTTACCGATTTTTTTTTTTTTTTTGTAATTTATGGTATGATGGTTGTTTTAACTTTTGATTTTAGTTACCTCTTTATCTAGGGATTAGGATGTCTAAGAGGATTTGTACTTACCTCTTAATAGTTGTGAATTTATTCAAAATCAAGTTCGTGCGCGATTAGTGCAGATATTAGAATGAAGTTATTTTTTGAATGAAAAAAAATTCGGTCACAACTTATTTCTTAGCTAGTTTGATACTTTGACCCACAATTGTAAGTTTTTTTTTTTTTTTTTTGAAAGAACGAATTTGATTGTATCTACACTTTCCAAGCACTAATTAACCTCCCATCACCTCAGCCTGTTAAATTTCTCCACCCAATCTACATTTTATAAATAAATCTGGACTTAGGGCAAAAAAAAATATCTGGACTCTAGAAAGTGCACTATAAATCTTGCACGCTAAAAAGGCATACTTCTCCTAATCAGGTTTTCTGTTTGTGTCTGTTCAGTCATGAAGTAAAAGGTTTGCGACCTTTAAGGGTACGGCGATCTTCTTGACTTGTCCAGGGTTCGAGTCCCGCTGTTAACGTGTTTGGTATGGAGTGGGGCCTCCTCTCCCGGATCGCAGGGGATTAGTCGGACCCCGTAAAAATTGATCCGGACACCCCTGTGTCGACAAAAAAAAAAAAAAAAAGGAGTAAAAGGTTTGCCTCAAAACTGTCAAATTCGGGTCCCAAACTGCTCCAGCTTTAATTTTTGAAATGTACTAATGACATTTTTTCATATTTGTATGAGATGAATAGAGGCAGTTTACAAGGGCAAAATCTGCGCGAATTATTAAAAACATTTCATTAAGATGTAACCTTGGACATCCACAACCAAACTTACAAAGTACTTAACTCGGAAAGCTATGGATCTAGTCCTAGTGTTTTTGAACTAATATATTGATCTAGATTTCGTTCATAATGTTTCAAATTTTTCTTCACATTTTGAACAAATTGTGATTCAGTCCCCCATATTTCAATTTAGACACTTCTGACCCATTGTGTTTCTCAAGTTATATTTTGTTTAGATATCTAATGGCATTATCATCTTGCACCTAAAATTAAATTTCTTCCTTCTTTTAGAAATCATGTATCATTCAAAAAATTGTAAATGTCCTAACAGTTTCCCGAGTGGGTGGGAATAATTTGGAGGCGCCATGTCACCTTGAAGTTTATCAAAATTTGAGGAGATAGTAGTGGGTAGTATATGGATTCACTCGTATTACCATCAACGGTTCACAGAAAAGAATGAGTACAAATTTTAAGACAAAAGTTTCTGTAGACTGAAAGTGGAGAATATTATTTAGTTTGGGAGGAAAACAACATATTGAAGTTGTGAGGGAGCAAATACAAAATATAAATGTTTGTGACCAGATGTACTCGAATTGGAAAACGAGAGAGTCAATTGAAATTACTTAAAAAAGACTAGAATCCAATCTAATACAACTGAAACATGGAGGATTGGACTTAAACTGGTTTAAAGACGAGAGCAAAACTACAAGTCAGCCGAATAATTTGGGACCAACTAATGAGTTCCTCGTCTTACGATTCCATTTCCAGCTACGGTTTCTCTTTTCTATTCATGTCAGGAAATCAATCACTTGTCTCATCTCAAATCTAGTTCCTTTCCGGCCCATATCTCCATCACTGTTTATTGTTGACAAATACTGAGCCGCAACAATCACCGGTACCATATTTTCCACAAACGCTTGTCAACAAAGTTTTAGTTAGGGAAATTTGTCAAATTGGTCCCTAACATTTACCAAAAACATTTTTTTAGTCCCTAACATATAAAATCAGCCAAAATTGTCCTTCATATTTAAATTGTGATCCAATTTGGTCATAATGCTCGTTTTTGTTTCTTTCTCCAGCTAAAAATAGCACACCCCTCTCACGTGGTCATATTTTCAAGGGCAAAATTGGAAAACAAAAGCTTTCTTCTTCTTTCTTCTTTTCCCCTGTTTCTTCTTCTCCATCGCGACCGAGAGCCCTTATCACCGCCACCGAATCCTCCGCCCCTCCAACCTCGCTTGTCCGCCGCCTCTCTCCACTATCGCGCGATCTCTGCTCCGCAGCCTTGCGCACTGCCCTCATCTCTTTCTCTAGTCGACCGCATCCTTCCACCGGCTCACCCCCGACCCCAGCGCACGCCGCCCGCTGCTCAAAGCGCGGCCACTGCGCGGCTCTCTTTCATACTCCGCCTGCCCTGACGCCGCAGCCCGCATCCACGAGAAGCAGCCGCCGCCGCTGCTCGACGCCACTGGCGCGCGTCGCGTACCTCACCTCACCTTACTTCGCTCCCTCTTCTCTCTCCTCGCGCCTCCACCAGCGACACGCGGCACCTCTTCTGATCACCTCCAAATATGCTTCTGTTCAGATAAACTCAGTCATCGTTATGGTGAACCTGTCCTTAGAGAGTCGAAGCAAGATAAAGATCGTGAGGTCAGGGATCGTCTCCGGTGGATCTGGGATTTGTGTTTTCCAATTTTGCCCTTGAAAATATGACCACGTGAGAGAGGCGTGCTATTTTTAGCTGGAGAAAGGAACAAAAACGAGCATTATGACCAAATTAGATCACAATTTAAATATGAAGGACAATTTTGGCTGATTTTATATGCTAGGGACTAAAAAAGTGTTTTTGGTAAATGTTAATGACCAATTTGACAAATTTCCCTTTTAGTTATCATGTATGCACTTTCATTTTGTAAAACATCGGTCAACAAAATTGACAAGTAAAATACGTGATAAGAGTGTAAATTCTCAAAGCACAATCTAACCAGCTGCAGGATCTCAGAATTGGAACTGCTATTACCACCCTCTTATATGTCAATGATAATTAACATTAAATTTTGAATTAAGTGAATTACATAAATACCTACTTTTGATTGCAATAACAACCACCTTGTGATCTGTTTTTGAAATAAAATAGACTCTATATGGAATAGGTGTTTTTAGGGGTGTTTTTCAAAAAATTTTACAGTAACAATTTATGTGGAAATTTTTTTACTGTAGATGGTTTATTTGGATTCTGTGTTTTTTAAGTTATATTTTGGGGTGTATTTAGAATTTAAAATTTTTGTATATTTTTATAAATTTGTTAAAAATTTTTCTATTATCCACCACCACCCATCACCGGCCACCACCGCCGACAACTTCCCTCTCCTCTTTTTTTTTCTTTGTCTCTCTCCCTCCCTATTTCCCTTCTTTGACTCTTCCTCTCCTCTCTTCTTCCTCATCTTTATTCCTCGGCCACCCTTTCTCCCTGACCCTAACTTGGCCCCCTCTCCTCCTCCCTATTTTCTAGTGACCTCTGGTCACGAGGAAGGGGAGAGGGTGGTGGGTTGGGCAGGATGAGGGAGAGAGGAAAGAGGGACTGGTGAACAAGGGAAAGAAGGAGGATAAGGAAAAGGAAAAGAGAGGATGAGGGAAAAGAAGGAGAAGGGAAAAAAGGGAGGGAGGGAGGGAGGGAGAGAAGGAAAAGAGAAGAGGAAAATGGAGGAGAGGATGGCTGTTAGTGGTGGTGGCCGGTAGTGGGTAGTGGTGGTAAGTGGAAGAAAAAAGAAATTTAGGGTTTATTTTATTTTATTTTTTAGTATATTTGAGATTGTATGTTTTTGGACTTATTTTAAAGTTAGTTACTAGTGATCATACAAACAAAAACAGTTTGTGGGAAAAATAACAAACCCAAACAAAATAATAATATATGTGTTAAGTTGGTTTTACATAGATTACTAGTTACTTGTTTTTTCCTTTCATTTGATCTACTTGAACAAATTGGTATGCCATTCCGTTGTGTCCATTTCTATTTTATCAATGAAATGTTCAAAAAAGCTTACAAAAGAAAAATATTAACTAATTTAAATTTAAATTTGAAATTTAAACTTTGATATATATCATACATTCAATCGTGATAGTATATATACTGTTAGTGTGTATAAGATTTACACAAAAAGTGTATATGTTAGTCACTCCTTAAAAAATCAAAGCAAATGCAGTTAACAAATTGGGATAATTTCAAAAATCTCCCCTGAGATTTTTGAAAGTTGCCTGACCTCTCTCGAGATTTCGAGAATTTCAAAGACCTCCTCTGTCATAAAATTGGGTACAATGCTTTATGCTTACATCAAACCCAGTGAAATGATTGTAGTAGCTTCACAGCTTACAAATTTGGTTGTGTTTGGATTGCATTTTTTGTCGAAAAATTACTGTAGCGATTTGATATATGTGAGGGAAAAAGGTGATAGGGAAACGTGATCACGAAAAACGATAATATTTTCCGACGGAAACAAGCAATCCAAGCATGACCATTTGACAATTACGTGGACTGAAGCAATTATATTAGTAACTAATTGAATAAACAGAAATAGTACAAAAAAGAAACAAATATTTTAATTTGCCATAAGAAAAAGGGCGCCAATTTCTAAATGATCACAATTTAAAACTAAAAAATTTCTAACTTGCACTTACAACTACAACATTGTTCTTGATGTTGAATAATGCTAGTGAATTCAAAGATTCACCTCTAAGGCTTAAAATTGTTATTCCAATTCGTTGTTGAAATTAGTTTTCTTACTTGAATTTTAGTAATTTGACGCCAATTCTTGAATCTAAATTCTCTAAAATTTGTCCTCCAATCGTTTGTTGCTACCCCTATATAAGAACTCTCGAAAGTAGCTGTTCTAAAAAGCCATTGCAAATAGTTGTAGAAGCCTCATGTTGATGCTTTGCATTTGCCAGCATTTGTACTCACAGCTCCTAAATTTTGACATTGTTTAACTAACAATTTATGCTTTCATACTAGATTAACTAACTAATGTAACATATGAGGGGCATTTTTCGAATTACTTTTTCGCTATCCTAAATCTAATTTTTTTTATTGTTTAGTTTTTTGAATTGGGCTTAACTTATTATAAGCTAACCTGTTTTAGAGGAGGTTTCCAAACTTTTAAAGCTTGAGGGAGGTCAATGCAATTGTTAGAAATCTCAAAGAAGGTTTATGAAAGTATCCCTAACAATTTTATGGGTGCCAATATCAATTTTCATTTGAAAAAAAAAAAAAACTTGTGTTGTTTATCAAATACTTGGCCATCAAATGTCAGGGGATGACCACGGTTCCCCGAATCCCTCAAAGTCCTTGGTTAGTAAAGCATCCGAATGTCAAATGTGACGGTTCATGCATAACAGTTATCAGGTAGTGACTTTGACGTTAGAGTGGAAGGAAGGAATTTTTGCAGAGTGATATATCCAAATCACTCAACCTCAATCAATCAGAAGAACTCTATGTATGTCTTATATAGCAACTCAACTGTTCTCATTGTCAAGCACGTAAAATAGTCTGCACCACTCAGTCCCAATTGACCCGTCAACAACAAAAGCTTCCACACCTACATACATAAAAAATTTAAATCAAAAGGCCATTGTTTCATCTTTGTTTGATGGATCACTGAATGTAAGAATGTTTGCTTGATCATCATTGGAATTGTTGCACTGTTCGCAATACTGTGCTCTTATGGTGTGTCAACTATCAAAAGGCTGATTAATGCTAAAATCCTCTTTGTTATACGTTAAGGTTACAACTTGTGCTTGATTTATATTCATCTTGTTCTAGAGAGGAATGGATTAGGTAGTTTGAAAGAGGGAGGGTAAGGGAGAAATTTTGAATTCCAACACTTTCATTTATCGGATTTGTCTGGTTAATATTTAATAGATGGCATGGTATAATTTCACAAACCTCCCCTGAGGTTTATGATAATTGCATATAGTGACGCTTACGTTTAAATAATTACATAAACCTTCCCTAGAAAATACTTTGAAGCTCACTTTGCTGATGTAAGCAAAAAATCTCCATTGAAAATCCTAAAACGCCCTTAGATATATGATTATCTTCCGGAAAAACAAAATTCCTTAATAACGTTAAACTCAAAACATTACTCACATATTTTTATAAAGTAGATTATCTACTAAAAAAATATTGATACTTACTTGACCAACAAAACTAATTCAATAAGAATCTACGTGTGGAGGAAACTAATGTTTTTATTGACTCTAAAATCACTAATATATGGAGTAAGATTGGGTTTAATTTTTGTGGGTGTCTATGACAAGATAGAAGTTTATCACTCTTATTCTTCTTTTTTCATTTTTTACTTTTTTCAAAGGATTTACTAAATTTAATTTACAATACATTAGTTCTCTTCATGGAGACTTTAAATTCAACATTGGATGAAGGTTATTTTTGTCATTTTAGACAATGAGGGGAGGTATGTGTAATTTTTTAAACTTGGAGGGTACTGCCTAAAATTGTTATAAACCTTAGGGGAGGTTTGTGAAATTATCCCTAAATAGATTTGTCCCTCTCTTGTCAAGATGTTTTGAACTTTACTTTTTTTTTCTTTGAAATTTCTAATGCCCACATTGCAAATTTTGGGTGAAATTTTTTATATCGTTCAATCATGTTTTCCCAAAAGGTTAAATCTACCAACATGAATTTCTGGTTCTAAAACAGGATTGTCTCACCAAAGGTCTGCAAAAAGAGCAACTTTAGCAGCAGTATGTAGGCATCAATCCTTATTTTGCCTCTCGCCAAATACAAATTAATTAAACCGACCGATGCACATTTGTGTACACACAACATATTAACAGCTAGCTTGTAGATGTGGGTGTAGAGCATTGATGATATGAACAAGTGATTTGTTTGAAGAAAATGTGAAGAATATGTCAAAAACGTGAAGAAAAAATTCACAAAAAGATAAGTGATTTTCGTGAGAACTAAAAACATTCACTTCTTTCCTTTTGGGGTCAGATCACCTCCTTATTCGTGCAAAAAGGAAGATCACCTTCCCAAAATAGTACAATCCGAGACAGTGATACATTCAGTCAAGACAAGGAGGTTGGTTGCCACTAGTCCCCACAAAGTTGGGTCACAAAACTTCATCTCATGGTAAGGTGGTTTTTACTGTTTTGGGAGTAGGAAGTAGAGGTACACGAATGCCTAATGCCCTACTTAGATGAACATGGGAGGACTTCAAATTTTGCAGAGCAGCTAACGTCAGATATGGAACTTATTCTGCACTCACATTTCTACAAGCAATTGGCTACGGCAACCAGTAAGGATGCAGTGTGGAGGACTTATTCTGCCTTTGAAGATAATTCCAAGCGGTAATTCTTGTTTTGATTGACAACACACTGCAGATTGCTCAGTGCAAATAGCCAATCAAGCTTACGTTCGTAACGGGGATTGGAGGGAATCCCATCTCGTTGATCGTTCAATTAACGCCCGCTTGCTTGCTTAGACCTTGAACCCTAATCGATAGTATCCCTAAAAAATTTTCCGGGGAGTATTGAAAATTTTTTGAAATATAAGGTAATTAGATTACCGAAGTTTGAAGGTCCAAAATAGTTGTAGGTTGCGTGCAAATGCTCTCCCAGTGAGGAAAAGAAAAGGGTTTGTTTATGAACAAAAATTACCGATCCAAGAACAAAGGGATTGATTCTTCTCAAACTCTTGTACCAATTCACGTATAATTAGCATGAAGTTGATCATCAAGTTTTGACAGTTCCTTGGAAAGACCTAAAACATGTGAACAAATTTTTATCTTACGCGGAATCCATATGCCAAGAATTTGAACATGATTTTAGACCAGGAAGGAATAGCCTCTGAGACCTCCAGTCGAAAATTCTTTCAATTTTGATGTTCGGAAACAAATAGCACCCTTTCATCTATAGTTTTTTTTTTTTTTGGGGTTTAAGCTCATCTACAAGATTTTACCCACATGGAATGAGAAAATTCTGAAATCCCTCAACAATCAATAGCACTTTGATAGTTAAGAACCACAAAGAAGTACAAGCATTTAATAGTACACACTTTTGGCAATGGACCATAGCGTCCTTTGTTTATCAAAATGTGGCAACATTTCCTTAATTTCAAGCACAGGCGAGATTTTGTTCTAGCTTGCAAGTTAGAACTTAGAAGCACCTTGCTTTGCTTATGCAAAAAGCAACACGAATTCTGGCATAATTTACTGGCATAATTTATGAAGATGATGATATCACAGACGTTGGAAGACTACAAAAACCACAAGAATTGCACACGCTTGCTAATTGCATCTATCTATCTAGTTTGCACAAATGGCAATAACGAGTCAGAAGAACAAGAAATTTTTTTTTTAAACAAGCTAACAAAATACTTATGTAAATCAGTCTAGAGATCGTTATAACACATAATGAAACTTTCCATGACACAAAAGTCCAACAAACTCAAAGCTAAAGACTAGAGAGCCCTAGCTAGCTACGGAAGAGTCAGAGAGCGAGATATAGAGATGCAACAAAAACAAGGCAAGTGACGAATGGCTGATCCCCTCTCTTCAACATCCACGAGTCGGATAAATCTGCAATGCAATATTCCCACCAAAATAAAAAAAAAATCCCGAAAGGGTAAGTTATCATAGGGAACAAGAACATTATAGCAACATGAGTACAAAAATATTGTACTAACAGATGAGAGTTGTAGGATTAAAGCATTCAAATCAAATCAATAAAAATTACGCAAGCTTCTAAAATGAAAGCATACTACTCGTAAATTAAGTACCAAATCAATAGTGGTGTCATGAGATGAGGAAGTTGACGTGCGAATCAAGTAGTAGAATGCACCATGCTGAAGAGGCTGGAGAGTGACACCCCATTCATTGGTCAAAACAGGTTGACCAGAGGAGTGTACCAGCACTGCATCATCTCCAAATGCTTCTCTCACGTTAAAGAATGCACTCGTCACCTCAAACGCCACATCGTTGATAAAAACGGTTGATTTTGTAGGATCAGCTGAGCCCGTTTCACCAACACCTGCACCGTCACCCATTGAATAATCAGCACCTCTCTTTTTACCACCCCCCCCCCCCCAAAAAAAATACCAAAAAAGAAAAAGGCAAAATGAAGAAACACTTATAATTTAGTATTTTTCATGCTCATCATTCACGCAGGGATATGAAGAGCCAATGCAGTAGTCAACAATCCATGCAGACGTTCTTAGAGACAAAGATCATAAAAGTCGGGCAAGAGACAAATCTATCCTTGTCTGTTTTTCTTACCATGACGAGTATGTCCACATGCTGCATATAACAAATGAATGATAAATAGGAAAAAGTAGATCGAACAGTATCCATCAATCACTTCCATGAAAATGCCCCACTTGTGCATACTGCTTCTGCATTAGCATGATAAGGGACAAACATTTATTCTCATTCTTGTTCCAGAATTCATCTTCTAAATTTGTACAGATCAATGATATGATTCCCATGTTCAAAATAAAAAACTAGAACTAGTTATGAATTATATGGGACATACGAAAATCTGTGAAAACAAGTGAGTAGACCAGATGGTTCATTAATTTCTAGGTGGTAGCCTATGCCATTAATGGTTAAGCTAAGAAAATACTGCTTGATTTAGGTGAGGGAAATAATGCTCAATTAAAGGAGAAAATTTGAAAGAAAAAAAAAAGATGATCAAGACTTAAATACCATGAACGTGATCAATGCTTGACACGGCAGCTACACTTGTGGGAGAAAAAATACTTTGACTAGTAGTAATTGGAGGTGTAGTTAAAGCAGTGTAGTTTAACTGTTGCTGCAGCTTAATCTTCTCATCCTGAACCTTTTTGGTGGGCACATGGTTCATCAGCAGCAAATCACTGAGCAAGAGACTAGAAGAGTTTTGGATCGTATTATCAGCCAGATGAGAAAGACTCGGTGCATCAGAGAAACAAAACCCTTGACTAAAAGCAGCAGGAGGTGTTGACTCTGCAGCAGAGGGTGGCTGTTGCACTGGGAAAAAGAAGGGTACAGGCAAGAATTCAGCACTGTGGGATTGGAAAAAGTGCTGGTTAACTGAAGCAGTTGCAGAACTTGATGTATCCAAAAGGTTCTTGGGACCGAGTGAGAGAGTTTTGTCTGCTGAATTTTGAGAAGACCTTTCAGAAGAGGATGAAGATGATGAGAGAGAAGTAGTTTTGGTTGCGGGAGGAGTAGATGTAATGTGAGGGATTTGTGGAGGTTGTGACTTGGTGGTGCTTTGGAAATGGCGCTGCTTGTGCTTGCTTCTTGATTTTCTGTTCTGAAACCAATAAAAGACATTGGCATCTCCAACTTGTCCATATTCTTGCAATTGAGCTCTGATTTTCCTTATCTCATCCCTTGGAGGGTTCACCATTCCCGAGTTGAAGATAGCTTCCAGTATCCGTATTTGCTCCGGCCTTGGATTCCATCTCGGTTTTGGCTCAGGACTCCTCTCTTCAGACCCTATCATAGTCGAAAATAAATCAGGATAAATTGTTAGCCGTTTTCTCATGTTAAGCTCAAGAATTAGAAACAGACAAGTCAGAAAAGAACAACTGTAAGTTAAAAAGCTACATAACAATCAGTTTTAGACATCTCAAGTCAGAAAAATTGGAAACCAGTGAATGGAAGTGGCTCAATGATTGAATGGAATTACTACCTGATGATGCACAGGAGGGGGCTCTTTGGCAACCGTTAGAGATGAGAGAAGAATTGATCTCGTGCTGCCATTGGTGCTGAGAGTTGCAAGGCTTGGACTTAAACATGCTAGGCCAGTGTCTATTTGATGAAGCCATGATGATAGCTGGGAACAACTGTCAATTGTTATGTGGGATTCCTCCTCACACTTGAATGGACAAACCTTATACTGGTATACTATCTAGGAATTCAAACAGAAGAAGAGAAAAAAGGACAAGTCTTCCTTTTTGTTGGCTTTGTGTCTGAAGAGAAGAATGAAACGGCTAGGCAAACATAACGTCTCTTCTTATAGCCATCCTCACCTACTCCTCCCTTTCAGTTTCATCATGGATGGATTGTCAATTAATAAAAACAGTCCTTCCTCCCAACCATGTCCCTAATAAAATATGCTATCATGTAGTAGAAAGAAATATAAAAAAGACAAAACCCACAACAGGAATCGCCTGTGGAAATGATTAACAAGAATAGAAAGCGAATTAAATATAAAGTGATCAAGAGGATGGAGTGTAGTACAAAAGACCCATACTTCTGAGTTCTGAGGAGTCCTTACTAGTGGAATTTTTGCATTAAAACCGAAATACTTGTTCACTACTCAAAAGTACAAGGCCAATGCCCCCGGAAGAGAAGCAAAGAGAACATTGAAGAAGCACATGCTTGGGCTTATATTGGAATCTTCTTCATCAGAGACGGAGTAGACAGACAGAGAGGAGATCTAAATGCAAAATATTGGAGATGGGGTGTGGTGTACTGCTGTTGTGGGGTTCTGCTTCTGATCACTTTGTCTGTTTGTAATATAAGTGTTGCATTTTTATGATGAATCTGCAAGATTTTCCAGTTTTCTATGGAGGGATTGATTCTTTTTCTTTATTTTTTGTTTCTTTTCTTAGGGAGGGTATTAATGGAGAGGGTTGAGAGGGTTTAGAGATGAGTACTCTAGTGTGTGTGTGTGTGTGGGATTAATATTCTATTGTAATGGAACAGGCTGTTGCAGGAATAAATAAGGGGTGTGCGATGTGGAGCGGCACTGGCCTTGGGGTTTCTGAAAGTCAAGAAAGGTTTGTGTTGAAAAATTTGATTGTCTCAACTTTCAAGCAATGGTGAAAAGATTAATTGCCAGTTTGTAGTGTTTTTGGGCACAGTAAGAAGAGTTTTGGATTGACTCGAAGGTTCATTAAAAAAAAATTAGCAAGTAACCAGAAAGAGAAATTAAGGACTCGCTAATGAGGATTTTTATCTTTTGTTAGTAAATTATTAGTGAGGACTTTTAATTAGTTAGTGACACTATACTTCTCTTATATTCTTTTGGTAGCCCTGAAGTTTCTGATTTCCTTTCTTTTGTCGTCATCAGGAAACATTTTATTACTCTTAATTTGAAGTTGTACAAGGATGCAACTAACTAAAGGCATAATTTACTAGCAAAATAGGCCCTCATATAATGAGCAAAACTAGTTAGCTTGCAATCATCTTGTCAGGCTGCTATATGGTTATAGCTGAACAATTGGGTGAAATTCGAATTGATGTTTCAAGATCTTTGCAGATTTTCGTTCTGCGTTCTGTTTCAAATTAGTTTTGTGTTCTATTTGATAAAATTATTTTTTTGGACACTGGACCAGACTTTGGCCTCACTAGTCTCCTTTAGTTGACCACCAATATCAGAAAATGATGAATTCTATGATGTGGGGTGGTGAAATAAGGGAAGTGGTACTGAAATTGGTCCATGGTCTCACCACATTGACACTTTGACATATGATGGTTTGTCATTGGCTCACTCAGAACTCACAAGTCACAAGAATTGGTTATGTTATCACCATCAACTTGGTTGGTGCAGCAGCTACACAGTTCGTACTTTTTTTTTCCTGTAACGATGATATTTGTATAATCTAATCTATAATATTTTATAAAAAAAAAAAGAGAATTTAAAGAGATTGTATAAGGCGCTAACAAACTTATGAATCCGATTAAATCAAAAGAATGCTCTGACACCTCATTTAAAATTTTTTCAACGCAAATAAGATTCAAACTTTCATTTACAATCCAAACAAAGACTTGATTCCTTTTTGTGGCCAATGGCTCAGTGGTTGCTACACAATCCGTACTTGCATAGTGGTCTGCTTGACAACGGGTAACATGGTGTCAGGAAATGGTTCTAACACCAACAGTGGCCATTTACATTTTGTGCCACATATTGTAATTTTGCTGTTACATGTGCACTTACAATATTTTCCCTTAGCATGCAAGACAAGGGTCTTTGTTTTTTCGAAAGTGAGCTCTTTCGCACTGTAAATTTGGACAGGTAATGACAGAATAGTAAATAAAGGACCATTTGAAAGGTACGCAAGGAGGGATAAAAAAAAGAAAAAAGAAAAAAAAAGTACAGAAGGGAGTGAGGGACAAGTGACATTATTACCGCAGCGGATCTTCTGTCCCACCACTCTGTGCCACTCTCTGTTCCACTTTTTATTATATTGCTATTTCTCCTAAATAAAGATCCGTTGCGTCTATTACTCCCTCCGTCCCGTTTTATTAGTCTTGTTTTCCTTTTTCGTCTGTCCCAAATTGTAGTCCACTTTCCCATTAAGAAATGTAGTAATCTTTCAAATTGTCTAAAATACCCTTATTAAATATCTTGTTATTAATACATTGTTATTAAATACTAACCCACTACATTGAATACATTGAGCTTTTCCAATACATAGATAAATGAAAAGTCTATCTTAGCATAAGGGTATTTTAGGAAATTATTAATCTAAATTTATGTTTCCAACCAAATTAATTACACTTTCTTAATCTGTGTGAAAAAAAAAAACCAAGACTAACAAAACGGGACGGAGGGAGTATGATTTATGACTGATTGACAAGCAAGGTGGTTTAATTGCTCAAAATAGTTGATTATGCTCTATGAGTTATTTTTGTGCAAGATGGCTGCATTCATTTACGCTAATAAAGCTCATCGACAAGCAACCGGTCCTCCTTTTTTTTTGGTCAAACGGTCCTCTTTGGATTGATATTTTTTTGGATTTTTTTTTTTGTAAAAAAAATGTATAGTAACTATCTGATGTATATAAAATAAAAAAATGATTGAAAAATATACTCACAAAAAATATAATTTTTTTAATAGAAAATTCCAATCCAAACACCAAGTTAGTTGATCGGGAGTAAAAAATATTGTCGAATAAATACTAATTAAAATCATGCAACTTTGACAAATGTTTTTCTATTCCGTGCATTAATTTGTTAGAACCTATCACATATACGTCACTATGACACTTCTATGGTTGCACATATAGCCCCTCAGTCATCCTAAGTTATAAAGATAATTAACTTGATTAGCATGTGGAAATGTAGCATTTAAAATATTTCTGATTGGCAAGGAAAAACTAGAAACTGGTATAGGCTACATTGTAATTGCACTTATTGCAAGCTACTCCTACAAATTATTGATCTTGTACCAAGTAAACTATAGTAACAAATGCAAAATTCGTTTTTCAAAGTAAAACTAATCAAGTCCAAACATATGGATCGAGTATGGAGTTTGGACCCTTTTTGTTTCTTTTGCTTACATCTTTAAATCATTTTCACTCCAATTGAAGCAGCATCGATATCCCAAATAACCAGACCTGAAAACCAGCCATCTAAACGCGGATTATTCAGGTCTTGGCTTGAAATTAATTTCATAACTATGGCTTTGACTGAAGGAAATTAAAGTAGTGGACTCTTCTTCTTGATGACAAATTTAGTCAGAAACAAAGAAAAAAAAAAGTTGGAAGGACGTTTGTTTACTTTAATGTTGTTTTGGTTTTGAGACCTAACCGAAATCGAAGTCCAATGAAACATTTATCTCTCTCTCTCTCCCTCTCCCTATATCTTGTGTTTATGTGTGTGTGTAGATCGTACTCAACTTCCCATGCAAAGAGAAGAGTGAGAGACAGAGGGCGAGAGTTAATAAGGAGAGCGAGTAATGGTTTGGTCTACGTGGTGTCGGTGCGATTCCGACATGCAAAGCTCAAACTCGCAACTCTCATGCGGGGGTGCAAACGAGCCGAGTTCGAGTCGAGTTTTGGCTAATCGAGCCGAGCTCGAGTTAATTTTGTGAAGCTCGAACTCGAGCTCGAGCTCGACGAGTTCAAAATATCAAGCTCGAGCTCGAGCTCGACTCAAATTCGAGTCGAGCTCGAGCTTAAAAAATAAAAAAATAATTATAATTATTTTATTTTTAAAAAATAAAAAATAATTATTTATTTTTAAAAATGAATAAAACAATAATTTTTTTAACAAATAATAAAATATTAGGAATATATATGTAATTTTACTATTAAAATAAAAAATAAAAAATAAAAAAAAATATATAATTGAACTCGCGAGCTAACGAGTTTAATGTTTTTGAGTTCGAGCTCGAGCTCGAGACCGACTTAATTAGCTCGAACTCGAGTCGAGCTCATATTCGAGCCGCTCGCCATCGGCTCGCGAGCGGCTCGATTCGCGAAACACCCCTACGCACCTGCTATTTCCTCAATCCCCCTTTTGCCGATCGCGATCGGCTCGATTCGCGAAACACTCCTACGCACCTGCTATTTCCTCAATCCCCCCATTTGCCCGACTCTTCTCACTTCTCATTGCAAAACATTTTCTTTTTTTTTTATATTTGTGTGTGTGTGTGGTTTTACCTTCTGTCTCTGCCACTGTTGTTAATAGCTTCCTCATATGTCAATTGCATGCACACAAACAGGGGGACTCCCAGTTTAATTTAGATTAAACAGGTTGGGGGGTAAGTTTCAACTCATTAATCATTATCGCAATATTTATATCAGCCCAAATCATGTTTGATTTTGAGGGTTTTCAAGGTTTGATTTGACATTTTCATGTTGGCCATGACGAGTAACTTGAATTTCGATAAGACAATGCAACACCATGTCAAGGAGGAAAAGATTCATCATACCTTTGTACACTTTATGTCCAAACGCGTACATTCTCATCTGTCAGTTTATATGCTCATGCAAATATGCCCAACAATTCATCTGTTTGATTAAATGGTTATTTAAGAAAATAATATTATTATAACAGTTTTTGTGATGTAATACATATGAAAATAAAAATATTCTTGAAAAAAAAATATATATCCAAAACTTGTATTTATGATGTAAGAAATTTTTTTTTCTCATACATGCATAAGAAGTTATGGAGTATGTTTGTTAAAAAACAACAAATCCTAGTCAGTCAAGTTTTTTTAGTGGACGCATGTCAACTTTTTCACCATACCATCCTCGATCTTTTGGCGTGATAACAGTTCTTGCCCCTTTTTTCAGTTATTAATTTCAAGAAGTGGTAAATAAAAATGTTGAATTTTCAGTTCTCAATTAAAAAAAT